ATGCACCCACAGTCCTGCTGCTCTCAAGAGCTCCAGATTGGTCTTTTTGTAAACAGCTCTTTTTGTAATATAAAGGATATTAGCTTCTCATTTATGTGTAGTTAACTGGTGTCAACTGTTTTTTTTTTTTTTTTTAAGAAATGTTTTGTTAAATAAAAAGTATAGTATACAGCTATATTTTGCTTGTTTTGACAAGTTATTAAAATTTTGTAAGAAATAATTATTTATTTATTTTTAGTGTGGTTAGAGATAAAGTTGGTAAATCCTTTGAGCTCTGGAAAGTGATGTGTAATAAAAACTAATTGTAATACGACACTATGAAAGCATGACCCATGTGCTCATACTCACAGAGCAAGGTTATACAAAACATACACACAAAGTAAAATGAATTAGGAGGCATGTGGGCATTCCACAACATCTAAATCAAGTAATTTTAGCATGTCAAAGTCATATTTATGCATATAAAATATATTTTCCCAACTACAAAATTGTGGTTAGTGGAAATGGTGAGTGGCTATCAATGTTGAAAATCTAGTAGCCACACTGGCTGCTAATCAAAAAAGTTAATGTTAAACCCTGATTATATTATATTATATTATATTATATTATATTATATTATATTATATTATATTATATTATATTATATTATATTATATTATATTATATTAATATATTTTAATATATTTTATTATATTATATTGTATTATATTATATTATATTATGATATTTTTATATATTATATTATATTATATTATATTTTAATACGTTATATTATATTATATTATATTATATTATATTATATTATATTACATTACATTATATTATATATATTATATTAAATTATATTATCTTATATTATATTATATTATATTATATTATATTTTATTATATTATATTTTATTATATTATTTTAATATATTATATTCTATTATATTATATTATATTACATTACATTATATTATATATATTATATTATATATATTATATTATATTATTTTATATTATATTATATTATATTATATTATATTATATTAAATTATTATATTTTACATATTATATTATATTATATTATATTATTTTATAATTATATTTTATATATTATATTATATTATATTATATTATATTACATTATATTATATTAAATTATTATATTTTAACATATTATATTATATTATATTATATTATATTATATTATATTATATCATATCATATCATATTACATTACATTACATTACATTACATTACATTACATTACATTACATTACATTACATTGCATTGCATTGCATTGCATTGCATTCTTAAACTCAGCGTTATAGGTATTACATTTTAGACAAACAACTACAAATAAACCAGGATGTTGTAATGTAAAAAATGCATTAAAAGTCAGCAGAGCCATTGCTTTTTTGTGCTCCTGCATGAACGCTGGTCCTGGAATCAAGATATTTTTGGGAGTGAAATAAAGACAATGGCACAGTGTTGCCCTGAAGGACTGCAATTATCCAGTGTTGCCATGGCATTGGTTAGAGACGGGCATGGAAATTATGAGCATGGTAAAGGACAGACTCCTGCTGCGCCGCCGCCTTTATTCCTCACACATCGCAGAGAAATGGCAGCTGTTTTCTAAGAATGGAGCTGAAAGATAAGCAGCGGCATCGGGACCTGTTGCTCATAACCTTTCCTTCACTCGCTCTTCTGTTCTGCTGCCACTTTATTCAGCCGATTGACACTGAAGTGGGGCTGGAGGAGACTGGGAAAATGTGAAATGTTGTTGTTGAGTGTTGCCATGACGATATTTATGTCATTCTTCAATTTAATGTGCAATTCATGCTATTAACAAACCATTAACAAAGTAAGACTAAGACTGTAGCTTAGTATTAATAAGGTAGTCATTGGGTTTAGATATTGTGTAGGAATAGGCATGTAGAATAGAATTCTACTTTATAAGTCCTCATGAAATCAAAACTAACCATATTGATTTTTGTTAGCTCACATTGCTAGTTTTATGGTAAACAATTTATCTGTGCATGTCATTAAGAAAAAAAATAATAATAATTGTACTTGTAATCTTTAATTGAAATCTGAAAATGCACTTCCTAGGTGAGCGCGGGGCACAAAGTAACACGGGGTTAAATATAACACAGAGTTTTAAGGTGTTTGCTAAGGGTTTACCAGGGCATGCTTCTGAGGTTTTTAGCACAGTGTTGGCAGACGTCTTCCTGCCAATTATTGGAAAATTATGACGAAATTTGGATGAGAAACACAGAAGAAACCATTTTTGAAGCATAGAAATATTTTTTATTATAGTCAATTTTTTTTTTTTTTTTTTTTTTAAATCTGTGCAAGTATGAATGTGAAATCTTATATTGTCGTGATAACCATCCTCCAGGCTTAAAGATGAAACCATTTTGAAAGATGTAAAACACACACAGTGACTGCCAGACAGTTTTGAGAAAAACATGACACAGCGGGGTTAGCTGTAACAGGGTTACAATTAAGCCACACACTGTTGGACACCAAAACAAAATAATGTTTTGAATTTTGAGTGTAATGTCGAGAACTTTTTAAATCAAATGTTTGTTAATAGAAAATATATTTTTTTTTAATAGAAAAAAAAATGTTTCATTGCTAATAATGCAAATAAATGCATTGTATAATAATGGATAAATGAATAATCATGCAAATAGATTCAAATGTGTTTATCCAGTAAACAAATAAATACATAAATATACTTTGCTGTGTAGAATAAAAAAGAAATGAGCCAATTACTGAGGAAAGCTACTATTTAAAGTAAAAAAAAATAATAATAATAAATAAATAATTAACTGTGTAATCTGCCTTTGTAAGCATGTGTTATAACTAACCTCCTGTCTGTTACAACTTGCCTCGCAGGTAAAGTAAACAGTAACATTTTTACTCCTGGCACTTTTGCCAATACTGTACAGAATCCATAGGTCTGGCGATCATAATTCCAGTGCTCATTTTTGGGAGAGGCTTGTGTGTTATTGGTAAAAAAATATATAATTTGTCTAACCCCATTATTTTGTTATTATTTGACCAAAACCAAAAAGTGTTACTTTGTGGCGCGTTCTCCCCTATCTGTTTTCAGTTAAGTTCTCAGATTAGGTCTGTCTGAGGGGTTGGGTGTGGCTAACACACTTAACCACGCCCCTCCAGCTGTCAGTTTTGACAACAAACAGAAATGGTGAGGAGGAGTCTGTTAGGCCAAAAAGCTTTGAATAGCCAAGAGGCGACGCTCAATAGAACATTCCATTGCAACAGCAGCGCCCAGCAACAGCCACGGATTCCGCCATTTTGGAGTGAAAGCGATCACTGCATCTTATTACTGTCGCGATGGCAAGCAGCTGCTATGTTTTTTATTTATTTATTTTAAAAGCGCATTAAAGCTGAGAGACATCTTAAAACACGACAATACAACACTTACTATCACTGTCATCAGCACTTTTAACAGTTTATTTTGCAATCTTATAATATGCTGTTGTTCTATTGGAGTTTTCATTCCAAAATGGCTGCCATCTAGTGGCTGTTTCCCAAATTGCACAAGAGTCTCGCCTTTTAATGCTCTTTGGTTAGGCTTTAATAAATGAACTGCCTACTTTACTACATCCAATCAGCTCTCAGTAGAAAATAACAAACCACGCCAACTGTTTTGTCATTTAATATTTCGTTTCACTGGGAACTGCATCACAATACGGAAAACATAACCATCGCAGCTTCCGGTTCATGTTCATGTATTTTAATATTAGGCAGGTAATAAGGCAGTAGTAAATGGTGTAATTTGTTACTTAAAGTCGGCATGAACTGAAAGTTTATTGATATATGATTCAATTAATTTTATTAAGAACATACATTTCTTAAAGCCTACTGTAATTAATATGAGTACAGTTTACGTACAGTACAGCAACTTGTAGCAAGAAAAGTAAGTTTATCCAGCGTTCAACGCTAGGGAGTTTTTCTACTGATCTGACCGGGCCAGTTGTTTAGATAATAAAAAAAGATAATAATAGCTTTTTTAGATTTTAGCCACATATTTTAAATAATGTGTCAAACATAACGTCTGTGAATCTAGCATTTTAATACTTAAATAAGTTAATAAATGGTTAATGAGCACAATTGTTTGTTATGCAAACTAAAAGAGCAGTACGGAACATGTGGAGGTATTTTATTACAGTTCAAAATTATTTAAGAAAGGTGGCTGACTTGCCAAGCTGATGGCAAACTTTTATTTTTTTGGACGGCTTTTGTGAACTGTTGCTCGGGTTTAGGGAAGCGAGCGGGCGGGCGGGTCGATCGGTAAAATCGGTTGGGTTCAGGGAAGGAGAAGGGCGAGTCGGCCGATTGGCCGGTCGCGCAGTCAATCATCCGGTCAGTCGGATAGCGGCCTCCGGCGGGTTCACGCGACAACAACGCGGGCGCGGAGAGGCGTCTGAGGTGCGAAAAAGCGAGCAACAGCGGCCTCTCGCGTATTCGCGAAAACAAAAACTGCAGCTGTACGTACCCGCCGGGACGTATTCCGCGGTCTCCAGAAACGTCCGCGGGACTACGTTTCCACAATGAGCCTGGGTTGCTTTTATAGCCATGCTACTGAAAGCAGCAGCAGATAGCTCACCTCAGATCTATAAATTAAATAAACCATTAGAAATTGAAGTGAAATTGAATTGAATTGAATTTAGAACTGCGACTCAATGCAAACCAACACATATCAGTGATTCAGCATGTTCATTTAATAATGTTAAAGATGTTTACTGTGTATTAATTGGATTGTAAACATTGCCATTTCACTAAAGTGCACTATTGTGTGCTCCTTAATGGCTGTATTTAAATTTCTGTATACAAATCTTGTCACAGTATGAGCTTACCAAATCACTATTATTAGTTTTTGTACTTTTAAGTGTTTGAGATATTGCCAAACTGCAGTGTAAAAGCATGCGGTGCAGTAATAGTGTTTGAAGTGTGTGTCTGTATCTCTGTGTGTGTTCAGGAGTGATCCGAACTGCCGTGCCGGACCTGGACCGGGAGACTCAGGACCGATATGAGCTGGTGGTAAAGGCTACAGATATGGCAGGTCAGATGGGAGGTCTGTCCGGCTCCACCACTGTGACTATAGTGATCACGGATGTCAATGACAGTCCTCCACGCTTCCCTCAGAGTGAGTGCACACGTCACACGCACACACACACACACATACATACATACATGCACACACATGCGTCACTCGTGGCCTTTACACTGAGTCTGCATTCAGGCATACACTATATTTATAAAGCACTTCACAGCTGCACATGAAGACTGAAGCGCTGGAGAGCCAACATGCTAATATATCAACAACAAAATGCAGAAATCGAGATTTGATTTGGATGTTTTATTATTATTATTTTTTTATAAAAAAGATGTAATGGCATAATGATTCACATTTGTTTACATTACTTAATGCATTAATTAATAATAAAAAATACAAAAACTATATATATATATATATATATATACATATATATATAAATTATTTTAAATTTTTTTTATTTTTATTTTACCAAATACAGCTATTACGCCTGATTCACACGGGGCTTCAGCGTCAGTGCTTGACGGAGGGCATATCTGAAGTTGTCGCTGACACTATATAGCAGCATCAGACAGTGAAATTAGTCCACAATTGGCTACTGTCTGAGCTGGGGTATTTGCATGAAGCCATCTGATTGGCTGATGCTTCCTTTGGCATTGAAAGCTGAGAAAGTCCCGACAATAGCCTAAATTTTCAAGCAACGCTGTTGAGTGGCACAGACGGATCCACAATTCAGTTCGGCAATGCTTGACGTCACACATTTAAAGTGAATAGGACGTGTTGATGCTGACGTCTCATGTAAAACAGATGTTAGATTGCAATAATTTTTTTTTATTTTATTTTATTATCACTGAGATGCTGTTATAGTTGTAGGATTATTTTATTTTATTTGTTCTATCTTTGTTTTAATTGAAGAACGTTGCTGTTTGCTTTTGTGTTATTTGTTATATAATTTCAACATATTTTTTGTTCTCATCCTTTTTTTATTGTTATTATTTATCAAGTTAAACTAGTGGTAATATTTTACCCTTTTTACCTGTTTTATACCTGCATGTTTATCATTTTATTTTATTTTATTTTATTTTACTTTTTTATATTTTTTATTTTTTATTTTTTATTTTATATTTTTGTTTTGTTTTAGTTTTGTTTTGTTTTGTTTGTTTTGTCTTGTTTTTATTTATTTATTTATTTATTTATTTATTTTTTGTTTTGTTAGGGTTTGTTAGAGATTATTTAGATTTGGATTACTGGACCATTTTTAATTTTTTACTTAGTATAAAAACAATTTATAAATCATGCTAACTAATGATTTTGACTCTTGTTAACAAATACAGCCTTACTTTTAAGTGCAACCTAATGAAAAAAATAAACTTCATCAGTAATCATTCAGATTTATTTTATTTTATTTTATTTTATTTTATTTTATTTTATTTTATTTTATTTTATTTTATTTTATTTTATTTTATTTTATTTTATTTTATTTTATTTTATATTTTATTTTATTTTATTCATTTTCTTTTCAGCTTAGTCCTTTTATCAATCTGGGGTCGCCACAGCGGAATAAACCACCAACTTATCCAGCATATATTTTACGCAGCGGATGCCATTCCAGCTCCAACCCAGCACTGGGAAACATCCATACACACTTATTCACACACATACACTACGGACAATTTAGCCTATATCCAATTCACCTGTACCACATGTCTTTGGACTTGTGGAGGAAACCGGATAACCCGGAGGAAACCCACGCCAACACAGGGGGGACATGCTAACTCCACACAGAAGTCCCAACTGACCCAGCTGAGGCTCAAACCAGCAACCTTCTTGTTGTGTTTTATTTTATTTTATTTTATTTTATTTATGTACAATTTGTACTTTACATTACATATAAACCGAATTGATACATCATATTAACTAATGTTTTTACCTAGTGTTAACACATACAGCCTTACTTTAAAGTACCACAATATTTTATGAATTAATTAATCTTCATCAATAACCAGGCATATTTATTAATAGAAGAATTGGCATTTTATCCATAAAACTTTTGCACACGTTATGTGAATAATAATCCATTTTTCCGTGTGATGATGCGAATATTTTGTTGAGATTATTGTGAGTACTACTTTAATAACATGTATTTGGTCAGCTCAGAGATTGTCCATTCCAGAATTGAAGTATGTGCGTTTTGCATTGGCTTTCTGCAGAGATGGAACTGCACATCTCTGTGTGCTTTGGCTCCTGTAAAGAGCACTAATGCACAGGAATCATTTGAGCAGATCCAGCTATAAACTAATAAAGCACAGTTTTTTGTCTCACGGCAAACGCCAGAAACTACTTCTACAATTTAAACAACTGCAACAGACTAATAGAGTTTAATATTGCAGGAGTGACTCAGGCTCAGAGACAGATGATGATTCCTAAAATTCCACTACTGCAGTTTTCTTTCAGGAGCAAATATATAAAAACGACCACAATTTAAATAAATAAACCCCATCTAAGGGGACGGAGCCTGTTTTACAGATTTAATGCATCTGGCAGCTAGCTCTCTGCAACTCTCACATGGTCGCTCACTGAAGCTAAGCAGGGCTGTGCCTGGTCAGTGAGTGGGAGAGCACATGGGTAAGCTAGGTTGCTGTCGGAATTGATGTTAGTGAGGCCAGCAGGGGGCGCTCAACCTGCAGTCTGTGTGGGTTTTAACGCCCCAGTATAGTGAAGGGGACTCTATTTTGCTCAGTGAGAGCTGTCTTTTGGATGAGGTCCTGACTTTTTCACATTGTGAAAAAGTTTTATTCACTATATTTATTGTTGCTTGCACCTGAAAAGGGTATTTAAAGCATGGCAAATTAAATCATGTAAATTTGTGAGGTATTTTTAGCTAAAGTATATTAAATAAATAAATAAATAAATAAATAAATAAATAAATAAATAAATAAAACAATAATAATAATAATAATAATAATAATAATAATAATAATAATAAAAATAATAATAATAATAATTATTATTATTATTATTATTATTATTATTATTATCATTATTATTATTAATAATAATAATAATAATAATATAAAGCAATAATAATAATAATAATAATAATAATAATAATAATAATAATAATAATAATAATATTATTATTATTATTAATAATATTATGATCTCTTTAATGCAGAAGAGGAAAAGTGTTTTTACTCCATGCATTCACAATGAATGAGATTGGGGCTTAATTAAAGCTGACAACCATTTTTGGTTACTTCGACAGAATTGACATCACATTAACTGCAATTAAATCAAATATATAAATGCATACGCTTCTATTATTTCAACTAGCTACCAAGGAATTGTTTCTAATTTTATTAAAAATATATCATTAAAATGGATACAACAAATAAAAATAGTAGACTAATTAAAACTATGATAATTATATATAAATACTGTGTCACGGTTTGGGTTGGGGAAAAAGGGAGCGAGGACTCATGTGCAGAAAAATGGGAATTTATTAATAATAAAAATAAAATAAAATCCAAAACAAACTACCCTGAGGGGGAAAACATTAACAAAACACACAAACAAACTTCACAGGGCTGGCTGGTAAGGAATAGGGCTGGACAGACAGGACAATGCTACAAACGACGACAAATGATGATGAACTGGCACAGAACAGCAGACATGAGGGGATTAATAGCAGACGTAAACTAACAAAAACAGATGAACATAATTAACTAATAATAGGGTAACAAGGAGGGTGGGACTTGACAATAGACGGGAGAGCGCATGACAGAGATGAGCCATGCGCTCACATAAAACAGGACAAGAACATGCAGCCAATAAGATAACTCATTAACCGCATGTTCATGACAACACAAGCACGACACCGAAGCACACAACAAAAGCATGTGACCACAATGCAAACACAGAGCCGTGCGCTCACACATATGCAACGCGCATGCTTCATCTTAGCATCAACCAAACCGAAAGCAACTAGACGAAGACGCTGAGAATGAAACAGCGAGATGCCGACAGAACAAAACACAAACACTAGCACAAGAACGCGTGTGTCCGAGGCACACAGAGCCCGCGTGGCCTCATAAAGCCTGGTTTATACTCGACGCGTCCGCTTGTTCGATTGAGTACGCGCGGCGAATGTGACGTCATCGCGGAGTTTGCGGGGGTTCGCTTTGGGTGCGCATGGCATGATTTCGGCTGGCGGTGCATCGGGCATTTTCTGAGACTCGAGCGAAGAGTGCGCGGCGCCGCAACTGATTTGAGTTGAATATGAACCTCTTTGAAGAGATTTTATCCGACTGAACAGACATCTTATGACTCGTGATCAGAGAGATAACCAGACAATCAATAATTCTTGGCTAGAAATTGCAACATCCATTGGTAAGTAGAAAGTTTTTGTCAAAAGGTGTGGAAAAACCTGAATAATAAGTTTATTAAAACCAAAAGAGGCCATGGCAAAATGTAAACAATTACAGAATATTTTTTTCCACCAGTCATAGGTTTTGCACTGATGTATTTTGTTTAATTTTGTATTAAAAACTATTTAATAGTTACAAAACTACAATGAAGTCACAAAATTATTTTTGATAACTGGAAAGGAATAGATATACTGATGGCCTGTTTCTCTGGGCTTTATTGTTGATAATGGTCAGGAATGTTGGACCATCATTGCCTTTTTAGCATAAGAATAGGACAGAAACTAGCCAGACAGTAATGTGTGAATTGTGGAGCGGGCTAAATCTAAAAACATCTGTATTTTTTTAGTAAGTGTGCTTTTTTTGCTTTTATTTTTGCGATAATAAAACATTTATTTGTAGAGCAACTCATGTTCTGTTGTCTTTAATATTTTAATAAATTGTAATAGGTTAACTGTCCGAGATATGAACAAAAGCAAGTGATGACAATAATTATTTGCTAGAAATAACAACAACAGCAGTGGGAAAGGAGGGAAGTTTATGTTAAAAAAATTGGGAAAAAAAACCTGAGGGATAAGTTTGTTTATGCCAAAAGAAATCATAGCAAAAGTGGAGACCCGGGTACACAATTACAGAATATGTTTTTTACACCAGTCATAGCTTTTACACTAACGTATGTTATTGGATCGTATTTGTAATACATCTGTATATTTTACTAAGTGTACTTTTTATTTTTTGCTTTTATTCTTGCCATAATAAAAATATATTTGTTGAGTTTATTTGGGAAAACTCCAGTTTTCTTGTCATTAATATTGTAAATAACTTTAAAAGGTAAAACTGTCAGAGATATGGACAAAAGCAAGTGATGCATCAAAGTTTGATAAAAAAAATCTGAAAGGTTATAAAAATGCTTATAATCATTAAAATAATTTATAAAAACAATACAAATAATTATAATAATAATATGTATTTTTTATTAAAAATAAATATTTATTATTATTATTATTATTATTATTATTATTACAAATAATTAGTTTAAAAATATTGAACGACATTATGATATGACATACTTCCGGAGAGTTCCTACTTCTCTGTTTAGCCGTCTGATTTTAAGGTGGGTTTCTTTTGACCGCCCCCTGTCGTTTTAAAGAATATCACAACGGCGAACGCGACGAGTATAAAAGCCTCGGCCGTTTTGCGAGTACAATTCCAGCTTTAAGCGGGAGTGCGCACACTCTGCGCACACCCACGACGGCGCGCGCACACCAAGAGACACACAGAATGACAGAAACAGGACAAGACAGGGCTAGTGTCCGGACTCTGCCACCAAAACAAGATGTCACAAGACCAGAGTGGCAGAACCCCTGACATGCTGTCTGTACAGATGCCAAACCGAAACTCCTCCATTGAGTTCATTGTAAATCATTGATGAAATAAATTATTTGGCTACAAACTAGGACAGATATCAATCAATGACACCAAATCATTTTGTCAATGTAACAGATCCAAATTTAAGATGTTTTGCACTTATAATTCTTCTCTGTAATGAGCCTTCAGTGGTCAGAATTGACTGAATGAATCGTTCAAGCTGCTTTTGTGAATTAAATTAAATGAAAACAATCTGACTCATGTGAATGATTTGTTCCTGAATCAAACATGAATGTATTATTACAAACTAGAGCAGATGCCTTCACATGCCTAACACACAAAGATATTGCAAAACATTTGTTTTTAACAGTCTAGGGGTCTAAAATTTATTGAATAATTTCTAAAAGTGACCATAAACCAGAATAATTTGTAATTATTATTATTATTATTTTTATTATTATTATTATTATTATTATTATTATTATTATTATTATTATTATTATTATTATTATACATTATTATACATTATTATTATTATTATACATTATTATTATTATTATTATTATTATTATTATTATTATTATTATTATCATTATTATTATTATTATTATTATTATTATTATACATTATTATTATTATTATACATTATTATTATTATTATTATTATTATTATTATTATTATTATTATTATTATACATTATTATTATTATACATTATTATTATTATTATTATACATTATTATTATTATTATTATTATTATTATTATTATACATTATTATTATTATTATACATTATTATTATTATTATTATTATTATTATTATTATTATTATTATTATTATTATCATTATTATTTTTATTATTATTATTATTATTATACATTATTATTATTATTATACATTATTATTATTATTATTATACATTATTATTATTATTATTATGGCTCATATGAGGATTTAAAATGGTTCAAATAAATCAACATTTTAGTGCGCTAAGGGTGAATTAAATTTGCTAAATTGGTCGTAATGTATGAGTGTGAATGCGAGTGTGTGTGGGTGTTTCCCGGTATTGGGAAAATTCCTTTCCAGTCACCTTTTGAGGTTACTGTTCCAACTCTCATTGGAAACGACCGGTGTGTTTATTGCTTTAATAGAAGCGAGTGTGAAGTTGAACCACAGTAAAGCTCTGCTGTCAGTTTTATCAGACGTCTTGTCAGTCAGTGCCTGTCAGTCTTGTGGGTTTGATTGCAACCATTTAAACCCTGGTTGAAAACTTCCAGCTTTGAGCTCAAAATGATTTGATTAGAAATCCCGTACTGTATGTGACCAATAAGCCCTACGAGGTTAATATCAAATATATGTTACAGCACTAAATTACTGTGTTGTGTTTCAGAATAAAGCAGCTTTAATTCACATCACAGCCTTAGACCAATCAAATGCAGCGTGTTTCATTGCTGACATCAGAGCGGAGCATGTAGCCAGTGCTTTAATACATCTCATGTCTGCAAGCAAGACTGTGTGTGTGTGTGTCTACTGCATGTGTGTGTGTGCATGAGTATAAAAAGCAATGAAACACATTCAGCTATTATTTTCCCTTTGCTGCTGTTCTTCCGTTCCCTCCAGAGGAAAAGCAGCATTAGCTTTATTACAGCAAAGAGAGCGGCTGTAATGCTGTATCACAAGGCCTGATGTCTGTTTTTTCTGCGTATCTCCCTCTCCTTCTCCACAAAAGCCTCATTTATGCCAGTTTTGCTCTCACGTCTAATTCATTAAGCTGCTTTTTGTATTGTGGGCCAAACTGAAGTCTTTATTCTCTCTTCTGACACGTCCTGCACTCAGGCATATTGCCTACATCGCATATATTACAGACTGTACATTATGCAAGGCAAGAATGGTTATTAAAGCAAGCTTTGGCATTGTGTTGTTTTCTCAGAAATACTGTCGACTTCGGGATGTAAACAGATCATTCATGTTCTCCGTGGAGAAAAATCGACTCTTAATGATCACGTATAAAACTTTCGGATAGAGATGTGGCATCCGAGCTCGGAGGTGAACGGTGTTGCCAGATATAGCTGAATTTATCCAGCCCAAAAGCTGTGCAAAACCTGCCCAGCTGCACAAAAAAAACATCAAACATAAAATTATATATATATATATATATATGTGTGTGTGTGTGTGTTTTTTTTTTTATTTTTTATTTTTTTATTACTTTTAAACTGGTTTTAACTGTAATAATTTTAACCATAAAGGAACCAATAGTCCAAGAATCACAATAGTATAATTAAACAATAAACAAAATAACCGGGTCACATCAAAACACATCCTTGAATTCCGGCAAATACAAACACATATAATAATACTAGTGCTGTCAAAATTAGTACGTTAACGCGTGCGATTAATTTGAAATATTTAACGCATTAAAAATGTTTAAAAAAATTTTAAACTTAAAGAAAAATTTTTTTTTTTAAATTTAAAAAATTATCGCAGTTGCAGTTTTTTTATTTCCTGCTTAGGTCGACGTGTGTTTAACGCAACCCAAGCTCATTCTGAAATCGTATCCCCGTGCACGTTTCTGGAGACCGCTATTTACGTGGCCGGAGGTACGTATGGGCGCATTGGTTTTATCGAGCGAACGTTACGGGGCGGTGTGATGCCGCTATTCTTCTTCGCGCTCGCTCGCCGGCTGTGACGGCTCACCTCCGTGTGGAAGGCTTTCCCACCACAACCAGTTTGTCCGCTTAGCTGGCAGTGTTACGTCGGTGGAGCGAAGGCCCGGAGGAGGAGAAGCCGGCCGCGGCGATGACCGGGTTTGAGTCCGGGGAAGAGCGATTCCAGTAATCAGGTAAGATGAAAAACAGAATCCAAAAAATAAAAGTGAACGAGTTCATGACAGGGCGACAATGTTGTGAAATTCGAAAATTCGTTCAAAATCGGACGAGGGCTTTTGCTTTTTTTTAATTTTCTGGACGGCTTTTGTAAATCGTCGCTTGGGTTTAGGGAGGGAGGAAGAGGAGAGTGACTGGGTTGGACGATTGGCCGGCCACCTGGTCGATCATTCAGTCATTCAGTGCGTCAGTCGGACAGACGGTCGCTCGACAGCGGCCTCTGGTGGCTTTTCGCACGAGAAAAGCGCAGTTGCGAACGGCCCGCGCTCCCGAGAGGCATTCGAGATGATAAAAAGCGCGGCACAGCGGGCTCTCGCGGATTCGCAAAAAACTGCACAAATACGTACATCCCAGGATGTATTTCGCGGGCTCGAGAAACATCTGCGGGGCTACGTTTCCACAATGAGCCTGGGTTGGTTTAACATGCAAAGAAAGATGGATAAGACCAAGGAAGCTCTTTTTGAAGGCAAGTTTCAGTATAAAACAATTATTGTCACATCACCAGTCTTTCCAGCGTTTCCTCCAGACATTCATGCAATTTGGGGTGTTTCAGTTTTAACTTTTGACTTCGGTTTCAATGGAATTTGATACCACATGGCGAATGGAAAGAAAAGCCTCAGCATTTCGTGACTCGGTGGTTCTTTTGTTAGTTGAGTAGCTGGATATAATTAAAGTGAGATTTATGAAAAAATAGCATGATTTCCTTCAAGTGAAACATGAGCACAGATTGTGTTGCATCTTATAAACACAACCAAGCCTTAAATTTACATTCTGGACCACCCCTTTAGTTATAATGTTCACAGTATGTCTGATAATATTTTTTCTTCTGGAGAAATGCTTATTTGTTTTATTTTGGCTAGAGTAAAAGCAGTTATTAATAAACCATTTTAAGGTCAATATTATTAGCCCCTTTAAGCTATAATTTTTTTGATAATCTACAGAACAAACCATCATTATACAATAACTTGGCTAATTAACCTAACCTGCCTAGTTAACCTAATTACCCTAGCCTTTAAGCCTTTAAATGTCACTTTAGGCTGTATAGAAGTGTCTTGAAAAATATCTAGTCTAATATTATTTACTGTCATCATGGCAAAAATAAAATAAATCAGGAATTAGAGGTGAGAAATTAAAACTATTATATTTAGAAATGTGCTGAAATAACTTCCCTACATTAAACAGAAATTGGAGGAAAAAATAAACAGGGGGCGCATAATTCTGACTTCATGTATGTATTATACAAACATAACACAGATTGCTATATTCCCCAGGGCTAATATGCATATATTCTCAGGCCAGCGTGTGAACATGAATGGAGCTGATCTGAAAGTATCATCTTCTCTTTTCTGTCACAGAGATGTATCAGTTTTCGGTCTCGGAGGGCGCCGCCGTCGGGACAGCGATCGGTCGGGTGATCGCGACAGATGCAGACATGGGTGAGAATACGGATATGAGTTACCTGATCAAAGACGAGGAGGGAGGAGAGCTGTTCAGAGTGTCCACTGATGGAGACACACAGGAGGCCGTCATCGCCATCAGAAAGGTACAGGAGACCTTCAGACCTGTCGTTTTACACTCTGAAGGTCATGCGCTTGTTTATAGCATTAAGTACTGATCAAAAAGCACCAGAACTGATTACCAAACTAAAATATGTAAACACTTTAGCTGTAAAAATGCGTAAAAAGCACATTAAAATATATTTTTTTATAATCCTAAAACATGTTTACAAATTATTTTATTATGCATTCATTTGTTCGTTCAGTTTGTTTGTTTATCATTCATTTATTTATTCATTCATTCATTCATTCATTCATTCATTCTTTATTTATTTATTCATTTATTCTTTCATTCATTTATTTATTTATTTAGTAAGTTATAGTTTATTTAATTATTTTTATTTACTTATTTAATTATTTTTTGTCTATATATATTTTTTATTTGTCTATATATATATTTTTTTGTATTAAATATTTGTTTATTTATCTTTTTTATTCTTCTATTCTTTTTTCTTTCTTTCTTTCTTTCTTTCTTTCTTTCTTTCTTTCTTTCTTTCTTTCTTTTATTTATTTATTAATTTAGTTAGCTAGTTTATTTGTCTATTCATTAATTTATCTATTTATTCATTTATTCCTTTTTTCATTCTTTAATTTATTTATTTAATAATTTATTTATTTGTATTTTTATTCATCAACCCATTCATCCATTTATCCATCCATCTAGTTGTTTGCTTATTTATTGTATATTTTCAATTCCATATAATACAATATTTTTGTACAATATTAATTTACAATTTTTTTACAATATTATTAGCCATTTGCTGATTCAAAACAGCACCAGAACTGTTTACCAAACTAAATCAAATATTTAAAATATTTAACTGTAAGATGTGTATAAATGTGTGTAAAATAAAAACTTCAACAACTTCCATTTATTGAATATTTGCACAGAAATATGTTTGGGAACTTATTTATTTATTTAGTTTTGGTTTATTTATTTATTTAAATATTTATTAATAAATTATATAAATTGCGTAAATTTAGGTCATAAATATTTATTGCTTTGTTTTTGTTTGTTTTTTGTTATTTTTTTCATTATTTCATTCGTTCATTCTTCATTTGTTTATTTATTTGTTTATTTATTATTTATGTATTTAATTAATATAATACATCAAGTTTCCATATCTTATGTATATAAGGGCATTATTATTATCCTCTTGTGATTTTTGTATACTTTTTCAAAACCCTTGTTAAACAGCTTAACTTTGGTTTATCACACCTGAGTTCAATTTCTTCAGCCACACCCCTAATTACTGCCACACCTGTTCACAATCAAGAAATCACTTAAATAGGACCTGCCTGACAAAGTCAAGTACAACAAAACATCCTCAAAAGATAGACATCACGCTGAAATTAAAAGAATATACCTATTTTTATAACATTAATTTTAGGAATGTTACTGATAATATGCAGATGGTGTAATACATTTAAATTGCAAATGTTGTGATAACCTATGTAAAACACAATTTCATAATTAATATTTTATGTATTTTTTAATGGATGTATTGCATTGCAAACAAGTGGTTTTAATTGGATTTTGGTTTTATTTTTTGTCTTTTTAATGGTATTTCTTTATTTTTGTACACTTTCAAAATCATTCCACATAAATTCACAGATTTTTTACAAACTTTGGTGTGGAAATAGCGAATAAAAAAATGATAATAATCCACAGATTATGTCTGACAAGTTATGTTATGCTTGCTTGATATGAATCAGTCAAGATTTCACACATGAAGCACTAGCTGGAGATGGACATTTGTACAGCAATACAAGCATTTTACTGTATTTTCATTAACTAACGTTAACAGATACTGTAATAAATGTAATGTTCATTGTTTGTTCAAGTTTGTAAATGCATTAATAAACAATAACTAATACAAGCTTTTTGTAAAGTTTTACTGATGTCCTTTTCTCTTCAGCCTCTAGACTTTGAGCACAAGCGCACACATAATGTGGTGGTGGAGGCTGTAAACAAGCACGTGGACCCTCGTTTTGTTGATCTGGGGTCTTTCCGGGACCAGACCATCGTGAGAGTCAGTGTTTCTGATGTGGACGAGCCGCCGATCTTCATGCCACCCGCTGGAACCATCATGGAGGTTCAGGAGGATGCTCGGCTAGGAGCGCTGGTGGGAATCGTGACAGCCAGAGATCCAGATATGGACAACGTCCCCATCAGGTGTGGTTTAATACAGTTCAAGTTTATTTGTATAGACACACACTTGAAACACACTTTACGTAATGTATATCAGATTTGCAAAAATGTCGACAGCGGCCTCTAGTGGATTTTACATCTGAAATGGGCAACAAAACATGCCCAGGGTCATGGGGGCCACTTGGGGGTGAACGTTAGGATGATTACAAGGCCTCATGCAGTTCATCAACCCCAAAACCCACAACACCTCCACCCAACAACTCCACCCACCCCCTCTTCACTTTCATTTGGGACACATTGACACCCCCCCCCCACCACTACCTTTTTGCTACTAAACCCCAGCTCTTTACTTTCGTCCGTGACATAAACATCACGACCTAAATCTAACCCTAATATCATCGTCTTATGACGTTGTGTGCCCGCTGGGCAATAACTACATGCACTACAGAATGTTACGTTTACACACATCCACAAACTACATGTAAATGCATCAGCTTTTACAGCGTAATACTCACTACTATTTTAAAAGGCTACTTTTTACTCTTATTTTGAGTAATATTCACAATATTTTACTCTTCTTGCACTACACCTTTAGGCAAGTAATGGTACTTTTACTTAAGTATGAGTTTTCAGTACTCTTTCCAGCACTGCTCATTACAGAAGTAAAATAAGCTTCAGTTTTCACCATTGATTACAGAAAGAATGATGTTTTTCTCAAGAGATTGATTTCTCTATAAATCACATTAGGAAACACTGCAGAAACTCCAGACCCTTGAAATATTTAGTAGTAATTTGTCCATGCATTTTTAGAAAAAACAAAAATTGTTGCATGGGCAAAACTTTGTTGCACAACTCTGCGGCGGCTATAGATCTTAGCGGGTTTGTGAATTTAAATACATCATTAAGCTTGGCAGCGGCGGTGCTTTATCAGCTATTTTATCACAATAGTGACTGTGGGTCTCAATGAGATAAAGTGAAAAGGCGAAACGGTTTGTTTATGTGTGTGTTTGTGCATCGGCGTGTGTATGTGTGTGTGTGTGTGTTTACAGCCTGGCCACAGTCCACTTCTTCTTAGTTTAGACAAGGATCAATTTCCTCCATTGAGGAGCCTATTACTGGAGATATACCGAGTCACGGAAGCGTAACAAAGTGTGGCTCTTGGAATGTGCAGGCCGGAGGCTTTTCCCATTACACTATGGGCACCTTGGCACGCGCACTTATCAACCTGCCATCCTCCTTTACAAACACACACTCGCTCCGGCCAGAAAAGCTTCTTCACCTGCAGGCTTTGGAAAGCATGTCAAATGTCTGCTGGATCGCAGGAACTCTCTGTCTGCTGTTGTGAAGTCTTGTGGATCCACACCTATGACTGCAGGCATAGAGTCTGCCTCACAATTGCAGCTGGTTCTGGCCGGGGGAACCCAACTCCCGGGGAACCGTGACTGACATGTTAAGTGATTGACCACAGTTTGTTGTATATGCCTTTAGGGGACAGCTTTATCTGAAATAGATTATACTGCAGTGGTGCGATTGCATGAAGCAAAGTGGAAACTTCACATTAAGCACAGAAAAACTGCGAAAGGTAGAGGTGTGCAATATGCTGGATATAGGACAGAATAATAATAATAATAATAATAATAATAATAATAATAATAATAATAATAGTAGTAGTAGTAGTAGTAGTAGTAGTAGTAGTAGTAGCAGCAGCAGCAGCTGCAACAGCGGCAGTAGTACATGTTTGTAAACTTGTAATTTGACAGATAGATATGTTGCATTAATATAATAATAATAATAATAATAAAAATCCATACACACTCTATCTATCTATCTATCTATCTATCTATCTATCTATCTATCTATCTATCTATCTTTCTATCTATCTATCTATCTATCTATCTATCTATCTATCTATCTATCTATCTATCTATCTATCTATCTATCTATCTATCTATCTATCTATCTATCTATCTATCTATCTATCTATCTATCTATCTATCCATCCATCCATCCATCCATCCATCCATCCATCCATCCATCCATCCATCCATCCATCCATCCATCCATCCATCCATCCATCCATCCATCCATCCATCCATCCATCCATCCATCCATCCATCCATCCATCCATCATGTCAATTGTTTCAATTAGTCTTATATTTTATTGTTTTGTTTTATGTTTTTATTTAATTTGATTTAGCTTTTTTGGTTTTGTCATATTTTGATATTTTTTATATATAGTTATTTTTTATCTTGCATATCATTAAAAATATGCTGCATTTATGGATTTATGGATTTTTTCTTCCCTTCCTGTATGTGTTGTTTATGTTTAACCCACACATTAAAGTCAGCCTTTCAATGTTTAAACATCACATTAAGTACAAACAACTGTGGAAGGTAGATGTGTGTAATATGCTGGATATTGAACATTATTATTATTATTATTATTATTATTATTATTATTATGACGACGCGGTGACACAGTAGGTAGTGTGAATTGGGTAGGATAAAAAATTGTCCGTAGTGTACGTGTTTAAATGAGAGTGTATGGATGTTTCCGCTCCATAAAACATATGCTGGATAGGTTAATTTGCCGGTTCATTTAGCTGTGGTGACCCCTGATTAATAAAGGAACTAAGGGTGGTTTCACATACACTTTTGTTTTGGGAACGTATCTTGTTTGCCCAGTAAGCGTGGTTCGTTTGGCATATGTGAACAGGGTAATCGCGCTCTGTTCCTTGCCAACGAACCCTGGAGCGGTTCAATTGCAGTGAGAAAGCGATCCGATCCGAGCGCGGTTATATCACAGTGTTTTATGGATATGTAAAAGGCTTACGGCTATATGAAGAGAGAATTATGAGTAGGGCGGGTAGTTTCGCGAGTCTCCGGATGCCCGCAAACGAGTCATGATCTCCCGGTAATCACGCTTCTCCCTCCCGGTCCTTAAATAGGCATCGTCGTGCACCCTTCTCACCCCTTCCCACCGCGTCTCTCCTCAGACACGTCGCGCGCGCACCCTGTCAATCACCACCAAACCACCACCTCTCCTGACAGCTGAGCGGGACGCTGCAAAATAAACCCTGACACTCTGACCAATGTAAGAAGAGTTTACTCACATGTGACTTGTTTTAGCTCTTATGGTCCTATTAGAAACTTTGCAGTGTGAAAGCAAACCGCTCCTAGAGCAAAGAGCAACAATGTAACAATTGTAATCTCTGTTTCAGAACAACTGAATCGATTCACAGGTGTGAAAGCACCCTAAGACGAAAAGAAAATGAATGAATGATTATTATTATTATTATTATTATTATTATTATTATTATTATTATTATTATT